ATTGTAGTCAGTTAGTTATGTACTCATGTAAATAAGGACGACAAAAACTACAGACCTGTTCATTAGACCTTGAAGCCTAATATTTCTGCTGCTATAATGTTGATGTTAACTAACCAAAATAAAGAAAGTTAAACTTGATTTTAAGTATAACATCATTTAAATAACTTGTTGCTAGTTGTATTTTTATTAGTGCTGTCAAATGCTTAATCACATGAAAATTAAGTTTGTATTTACATAATATATTTTCGTGGAGTGTATATATTTGCGAAACTATTCATTTATTTCTTCATATGAAATATTTATATCTACATCAAATTATAAATAAATAAATAAATATAAAAATGATGTACATGTTATGAAGATGCAAATTTTAATTTTGGGTTTGATTAATTATGATTAATTGCTTGACACAACTGTTTTTGTGTATGTATATGTTCATACTTAAAATGTCATTTAATATTCCATTTATAATTTTTTAATATTTTAACTTTATTATTTACATTCTGTAATTGATCGCATTAAAAGTTCTTTAATAACAGTATTTAAATTATGAAATAAATATTTAAATGATTAAATAAAGTCTGTGTTTAATATCACATTACTTATTATTTAATTTAGCTGGGTTGCTGCAATTGAAATGAAGTATTGTTAAATTTCACTGCTATTGATTACTGAAATATATTGTGACTTCTCTGTTCACCACTCTATCTCTCTGTCCACATAGCTGTGCTGTGCTTTCCAACATGAAAAGTACCTTTATTTGGGGATGGAGTTCATGCCAGGTGGAGATCTGGTGAATCTGACCAGCAACTATGACATCCCAGAGGAATGGGCTCAATTCTATACGGCAGAAGTGGTGCTGACACTTGACGCCATCCATTCTCTGGGCTTCATCCACAGAGACATCAAACCACAACATGCTGCTGGACCGCAATGGACACCTCAAACTTGCAGACTTTGGCACATGCATGAAGATGGACTCGGTGTGTGGTAAGTGCATTTGAAGTGTCTTTTAAGGGGGTGTGATACTAACAAAAATGTTTCTCTCCTTTTTTTGATAATCTCATTGAACAATATTTTGCTTAGTGTGCTTTTGTGCTGATACCTTGGCTAGTTTAGGCCTGACATGGATTAATAGATATGACCACTAGGTGACACCACTACTGCAGGTGACAGCAAGTCTCTTTCTCCTTTTCAAAAATACTAGGCTACTATCTAAATCGGTACTTCGTTTGAGTTCTAAGTTGTGTCTTGACAGTAATAAAATAGAATAGTGGAAGTGAGAATGAAATTCAGGCTACTGCATTGACGTTGTTGTCACTGTCATGTTAACCTTTCGTCATCACGCCTCATAGGATAGTAAATGAATTAATTCCACACTTCAGTAATTGATAATTCTGGTACTTTTTGCCTCCTGATTCATTCAATCATTTTCCCTTGGCTTAGTCCCTTTATTCATAAGGGGTCGCCACAGCGGAATGAACTGCCAACTTATCCAGCATATGTTTTATGCCCTTCCAGCTGCAACCCAGTACTGGGAAAAACCTATACACACTCCTTCAAACATACACTATGGCCAATTTGGTTTATTCAATTCACCTGTAATGCATGTCTTTGGACATGGGGAGAACAAGCAAACTCCACAGAGAAATTCCAACTGGCCCAGCCGGGGCTCGAACCAGCGACCTTGTTACTGGCGACAGTGCTAACCACTGAGCCACAGTGTTGCCCCTGCATCTTAATTTCTACTACTAATTCGGATGTAAAAGGTCACATGCTGTTTTTCACAAACTTTATATTAGGGAAGTGTGGAATTTAGAATTTATTCTGTTTTTATAAGTGATTCAATGAACATTTATTCAAACAATTTATTCAAAATGGCTGATTTATTTAGAAACGAAGCAATTAGTGACTGTCTTTGTTGATGATTTATTTAAAACAGATTGAAGTTCAAAACACACACACACACACACACACACACACACACACACACACACACACACACACACACACACACACACACAAACTCTTCTCCTAAGATGCACATTTTCTGCTTCAGCTTTGTTTGGTATTTTCTGTTGATCTGTTGAACAGAACTCGCATTATTGTGTTTTAATGGATGTTCAGGAAAGCCTGCTTGTGTTAACTTGCTTGTATTATTTCACAAAACCTTACACATTTTATAAACAAAACCCCATAAAGGGATATTTTAACCCACCTATTTGTCATTGGGACTGCTTTCCAATAGTTTTAAATGCTTTTGGACTCTCAAGACGTGATTTTGTTTGTTTTTCTCAATTGAATGAAGCTCTCTGTAATGCCAGCCCACAATACAATTACAATTTTATTGAAAACGATAAATATCATACACTAGTAGTTGGTGTGTTTAGATGTACTATACATGACCGAGAATGAGAGAGTTTCTTTAAGATGTTGTAGTGTAGAGATTTACAATTATCACCTCACACATTGCAGCAAATTTGTTTAAACAATCATTAACGTACGTTACAGAAAGCCTCCATTCGGTTATGACAGATGTTAGTGCTGCCATCTTGTGGCTAGATTATACAATGCAGTCCTTGAATTGAATGAATATGAATTGTGTAAATAATTAAAATTTTAAACATACTTGTATTTCAGCTACATTAACTCAGCCAGTAATGTTTATATCCATGTGTCTACATGTGTGTTTAGACTGGTATGGTACTCTGTGAACACTGCTGTTGGGACTCCTGATTACATTTCTCCAGAGGTTTTAATGTCTCAAGGAGGGGGTTATTACGGTCGTGAGTGTGACTGGTGGTCTGTTGGTGTTTTCATTTATGAGCTTCTAGTGGGTGAGAAGTGTCAGCTTCATATGCATCTCTTGTAATTTTATTTCAGTGTTCTCATAATCAAATGTTTTCTTCTGTTGATCTGGGCAGGCGACACTCCATTTCATTCCGAGTCTCTGGTGGGCACATATGGAAAGATCATGGATCACAAGAACATCTTAACTTTCCCAGATGATATTAAAAAGTCAAAGGATGGCAAATACCTCATCTGTGGCTTTCTGAGTAGCAAGTGAGACTGAGAAAATGAAAGTTTAATTTGAGTTTTTTTATTTTTCTTGTAAAATTCAGACTCTTACTCGCTTAATATACCCTTACTTGTTTGTTTTTAGAGGTTGGCTGGTAACATGAATTTTTTTATTAATTCGAATTTAACTTTACTGTAAAAAAGAGCTAATTTTCAGGACAATTTATTACACACATGATGAGATTTCTTTTGTAGTTTGGAGTTTATAACCTGGGTTTGACATTACCTTTTTTGATCACCAGCCACAGTGGCTAGGAGTTTTCCAACATTACTAGCCACTCGCCATTTTCACTAGCCACAATTTAAATGTTGGAAAAATATATTTTATATTCATAAATTTGAATTTGACATGCTAACTTTACTTAATTTATACTTTGTGTCCACATGCCTCCTTGTTCATTTAATATTTTTGTGTGTTGTTTATGACCTTGCTCAATGAGCATGAGTACAGGGGATGTGATTTTTATAGTGTCACTATGCAATTAATTTAGTTTTATTTTTATAAATAGTTTATTTCACATGAGTTTCCAGGGCTCGACACTAAGGATTTGCAAAGTTTTTCTCTGGCTGCACCAAACTAATTATTACTTAGAAACACATTTTAAATAATGTGTAAAGCAAACAAAATATAGCTATACATACACTTTTTATACACAGTTGACACTTAAAAACAATATTCTCATGTATTCTCAAAGTGGCTAGTGGGAGTGGCTGTCTAACCCGCCACAGCTGAAATCTACCCGCATTTGTTAATGTGTTAATGTCAAGCCCTGTTTATAACGTATTTAATATAATCACAGGGTAGCTTAGATTTGTTATCGTTGTTATCATATGAAATTTTCCCTATTTTTCCCTATCGATGTACTTTTTTCCAAAATGACAATCTCAGGGAATATTTCATAAACACCAAATCATATATTTTTTAATTTAATTAAAGGAGAACATACAAGTCTATATTAATTTGATGCTTTTAAAAGTTCTTCATACAATAAGTCTTTCATAAAACTTTAATGTCCTACTGCTTTTACTAGACACACTAGCTTAATAAAACCTTACTTGTTTGCTTTTAGAGGTCGGCTGGTAGTGAAATTAACTTATTATTTTTTCTATTTGAAATTAGCTTCACTGTAAAAAAAAGTACATTTTCTTGACAATTTTTTACACATTTTGATCAGATTTCTGCTGTAGTTTATAACATATATAATGTAAACACAGAGTACCTAAGATTTGTTATTACTGAAAACAGTAAAGTTTTCTTGCCATAAATTACCAGGCACAGAAAAAAAGGAGATTAATTTAGCAGCTTCAGTGAGAAAAATTAGCAGTTTTTGCTTAGTTTATTCTCAGCTAATGTGATGGAAAAACATATTTTGTCTCTGTAGCCAGAATATGATGATCCATTTCCCCAAACACAAATGTTGGCTATAAAAAAATGAATAATCTTTATTAAACCGTTCAAGATATTCAATGATTTTTTTTCTCATAATTTTGCAGCCCTGTATAATTGACACACAGTTTTGCACAACCCAGTGTTGTTGTTGACACTTTGTAGTGTTCTGATTGATTGAATTAGTAAATTATGTGTATATTTGACAAAATACAACAATGTTAATATAATCTAAGCCTGATTACTACACATACCTAAAATATAAATAAATAGTTTTATCAGTGAAAAAAAAAAGTTTTATCAGTGTTTATGAAATGTTCCCTATTTTTTTAAAGGTTTAGGGTCAATAAGATTTTTTTTCTTTAATGGTTTTAGAAAAATTCTAAAAATATACATATAATTCTGAATAGTAATAATAATAATAATAATCACAAGAAATATTTCTTAAGCACCAAATCGCCAAAAATCTTACTAAGCCATATCAACATTTTAATTGAATTAAATTAGATAAAATGTAAAGACAACATACAAGATGATCTTTATTTATGTTATGCCTTTAAAAGCTCTTTATAAATAAAGTCCCTAATAAAACATACATTTCATCTCCTACTGCTTTTACTATATCAGCTTCATGGACGTTCACCCTCCAGCCTGACAACTTCCATCTGAATTCCTCTTTTCTCTTTCCCTCTTTCTCCTCTCTCACATGCCCACATACAAGCATTCCTGATCAAACATACAGAGAGGGGCTTAATGTTTTCTCTCAATGTTTTCATGTAAACACACACACACACACACACACACACTCCTCCCTTTGCATTCAGGCTGTTGGAATGTCCCACACGTGGTAGTCCAAACTGCTGCACCGCCTCAATGCAGATGAAGTAAAAGGAAGGGGGAGTGAACGGTCCTTATTTTTGGATGTCTCTCTGACTGCTCCACTCCTCCATGCTGTGCTGTTGGATGTTCCTAGTGTATGGTCATTTAACGGATTAGCGCTTCTCTGTTTGTTTTGCTGACCAGTGTTGTGCTATGTTCAGGGAGGTGAGGCTTGGCCGGACTGGAGTGGATGAAATAAAATGTCACCTCTTCTTCAAGAACGATCAGTGGACCTTCGACACCATATGAGACAGTAAGTCAGTGAGAGCTTGACTTTTTTTTTGTCGCTGCCTTTAGTTGTGGTGAAATGAGATGCATCATGTCGTTTATCTGTTTGTGCAGTCAGTACCTTTTATTTCTGAATCGTCTGGCATCGTACTTGAAGCCAAGTCATTTAGCCGAAGGCATAGTTGTCTTAGAACGAGTAGTTTGCTGATCAAATTCCACATTTTGATGAGGCAAAACACATCTTGGATGTTTTAATTACTATTTTAGGTGAAAAACAAAATAATGAGATTTGTGTAAAATCTAAAGTTAACCAAGTCCAGCCCGCCATCTTGTCCTGCCTCTCAGTTCTCTTAAGCCTTGGGCCGGCTCTGTGAAGTGGCCTCTTTTGGGCTCATCATTGAAGACCGGACGAGCTGCAACATTTCGTTCTCCCAGGTTCTGGGAGTAGATGAGCATGTCATCGTTCTAGACTATGGTCAACTTGTGAAGTTACTCATACACCTCAGCTTATGGCATATTACCATTCAAATGAAACGTTTCCAGCAGAATATGACGCTCTAAAAAAACTCCATCAGCACTGGTAACTATGAAAAACACGACTGAACACTAATGGTATACTCAACACTTTACACTGACATTCGAAGGATCACCTGACGTTAAAGACTGAAGTAAGAACGCTGGAGGAACATCAAATTTTAACACGGAAGAGTTTTTTTTTCTCCCAAATTAAAGCAATATTTCCTAATCTTGTTGTTTTTTTTACTGTACAGTTGCCCCAGGTTTGGATCAGGTGTGATGCCTGCTCATCTGACCTTTGACCTCGCACTCAACTGCTGCCAGTTTTCTTTCAATGCCATGAGATTTCTGAATTCTACATGCAGGAACCGATGCATTCTTTTTTTATTTTTATTTCTTTAAACAAAACAGATATGGCAGACACGGCCAAACATCGAAACTTTGGAGGACGTCTAGGAAAAAAAGCACCATATCATCAAGGGGAATAAAAGGTTTGATCAAAGCGTGCATTTACACACATTCATTTAAATATGGACAAAACCAACATTGGCTTATTTTTGTTATTAGATTTAAAACACATGGACCCTATTTGACCCAGTGTTCATATATACATATTTTTATGAATGAATATTTTCGCATATAAAATATAATAAAAGACTGACTAGACAGATTAGATAGATTAATAGACAGTTTGACACGTGTAGTCATTCGTTCTTGTGTATTTGAAGACTAGCTTCCAGTAGTATCTGGCTGCAGACTTGCATGCAATCTGAGACACAATGCACTCAATGGAGCTAGTGAGGTCACTGTGAGAGGCGGGGTTAGGGGTGCACACTCACTGACAGCCTAGATTTTAGCCTCGTTTTAACCAAGCCGTCTGTTAGACTTTTAACCCTTATGTATTGTTCAAGTGGCTGTTTTTGCCCCCAATGACCTCCATTATAACTAAACTTGTTTTAATTGCAAAGCCATGACACCAGATAGTAACTCATTCTTTATTGTTGGTGGTTTCCCTGCTGGGATGAGATAAAACTAGTCATTTTTACTTTTGATCGTCAGTTGGCACCTTTAAACAACCCCAAAAAAATGCTTGCTGGGATGGTACCACGAGGCTGTGCTCACTTCTGGACAGAGGGGGTGTAGACTTGCAGCTAGTGCCGATAAGAGGTGCAGACGCTGAGGCTGTTCTGTATGTGAGTGTTGAGGTTTTGAAACATCAGCTGACAACGTGTAGGTAGAGAGTAGCAAGTTCTGGGAGTAGATGAGCATGTCCCCGGTGTAGACTTTGACCAACTTGGGAAGTCACTCACAAGACCTCAGCTTATGGGACATTACCATTAAAATGAAACGTTTCCAGCAGAATATGACGCTTTAAAAAAAAAACTCCATCAGCACTGGTAACTATGAAAAACACGACTGAGCACTAATAGTATACTCAACACTTTACACTGACATTTGAAGGATCACCTGACATTAAAGACTGAAGTAAGAACGCTGAAAAAACATCCGATTTTAGCACAGAAGAGGTTTTCTTTTCCTAAATTAAAGCCAAACTTCATAATATTGTGTTAATGAATTAATTAGTGTGTGTTGCACTGCTGGAGTGGAGGTTAACCAGTCCACACAGTTCATGCAGCTATAATCTTTATTATCTTTTATTAAGAAACTATGTACAATATTTACACGTTGGCTCCAGGTCTCTTGGATGAAGATCTCTCAGCGACGTGGTCTCTTCTGGTCGCCGCGCGTCTCTGGTGGAGATGGGGAGCGGGACCACCTTTATGAACCAAAATCGTTCTTTGTACTAGGCTGTAAACACCTTCTTTTCTGCTGTAAAGTTGGCCATTTTAACAGTGGGCTCAGTAGAAATTTGCTCCCTATGGAGCCAGGACTGCCAGAATTTCATTGAACTGCATTTTCAGTTACTTCTGTATTTGCTTCATGACGGAGAGCGGGAGGTTGCCGTTGTTTGGGCACAAGCTGTAATATTTACTTTTCTGATCTGGAAAGATTCTCATTTGCAAAGGTTTTTGTTTGCTTCCTGGACATCCCCATCACAAATAATTAAATGATGAGTGGGGTGTTTTAAGCTGAAATGACACACACATTTTGGGGCAGCTAATATTTTTATTATGCTTGTAACATAACCCTTTATAACTGCAATGAAATGAAAGTAGTGTTAAATTTTTCTTCTGAATTAAAAGTAAAACTATCAGAAAGTAACAAACAAATGTAGGACAGGTACTTTTTTATTCCTTTCAGTTGTTACTGGTTGGCGGCAAAGCTTGAAAGCAAATTTCCAGTCCATTTTAGATAAAATAAACTGAATTATTAAAGACAGCCAGAGAGATGACTTTCATTTTCATGGCATAAATGAATGTAACTCAGCCTCTTGACTTTTCAACTCTTGTTTATTTCTCAATAGCAAAAAAGATGCCAAAAACAGACACCCAAAACCCTACGCATGCTGCGCGACACAGGGGCGTGAACCTGCAGGACCCAGACGCACAGTCCACTCGAAGCTGCTGTGAGAACTAAAGGCCTGTCAACACTCCATCATGGGAGACCACGACACCTTCTCCTCCCTAAAATCCCACCCTTCACCCTTTCACCTCCCAAGACGGATAAGGAAAGAGAAAGAAAGAGAAAGGAATACCAGGAAGAGCTCGAGGAAAACGCCTCACTCGTGCCACAAAGAGATTTTTCAAGGAAGACTTCTGGTGGACGGGGCTGAAAGCGAACGGACGATGGACTCTGTCATGTCTGGCAGTAAATATGGATTCTGTATTACTTTCAAGTCAACAAGAATTTCCACCTCAGTTCATCCTCATTATGCAAGCACCATGTAGAGATAAAGGATTGGAAAAGAGATAAAGGAACACAGAATGGACTGAAGAGTTATTATTAACCAACAAACCTTCCCATTCTCAGCCCCTGGAAGGGTCCGTAATGCCCCTTTTAACATTCAGAAGTCTTCAAGCGAAATCTACACTGAGTATCCATATGGTCTGGGCTCTCCCATTTAATCTCAACTCTAACACTGGAAGAAAGTCAGCACCTTAAACTTAAACTAACCCTTCAGTTATTCATCTATGAGCCACATCTACTAAATTTCTAACACAAAGGAACACCGAAGCAGAACTTCATATGTTTCATTTCAGCTTTATTTATTACCTTTGTTTGAACTGGTCTCCCTTTGCGCAGCTCGTCATTCATCTATGACCCAAAAAGTATTGAAGAAAGTCCATGTTGTCTTCCCTATCCCATTTACTTCTCCCCACAGCATTGACCTCAAAGTTCAGTGTTGATGTTCACAAAACAACAGCGAGCTCTACGATGCCTTCTTAATCTTCTTTTAGCTTTGTGTAAACTACTGTTTGAGAGTCAACAAATTATTACATATATTTGCACCAATCAAACTGATCCAAAATCATTTTGCTTCATGATTAATTGCAAAATATCATTACACATTTAGTTGTCTGGATGCGGAAGTCAAACAACACCAGTCTCAATATGTGTTATTAAAAAGCAACAAAAAATATTCAAGCACCCACTAATCAACAAAGTGAATGATTGAGCACTGGGATGGCAAATATTGTGGAGATGCAGATTTTTGCCCACAAAGCCCCTGAAAAAGTGGAAAAAAACAGAAGTGCCTACTCCGTTTTTTCCGTGTTCTTTGTTTTGGGCTTGATTGAGGTCGGCTGACCATCTTAAAAGTAGCGGTTTTGAGACGATCCCGAGGTATACGGGCAATAAGCTGTGAGAATAACTTGCGGAGCGTGCTAGTAAACAGAGGAGTCGTTTCAGTTTGGTTTTATATATGCTGTTTGTTGATGTGTATTAAAAAGAATTTTATTTCAGATTGATTTTAGTCAGTAATTTAATGGGTTACCAATACATTTATATGGTCATTTAGGGAATGAATTAGGTATCATGATAAGGTGTCACACAGCTAGAAGTCATTTGTTTCAATTCAATTCAATTCAGCTTTATTTGTATAGCGCTTTTACAATGTAGATTGTGTCAAAGCAGCTTCACATAAATAGTCACAGTAACTGGAACAGTGTGGTTCAGGTTTTAGTGTTTAAGTTCAGTTCAGTTCAGTTTAGCTCAGTTCAGTGTGATTTAATCATTACTGAGAGTTCAAACACTGAAGAGCCAATTCATCGATGCGTAGCTCTACCAATCCTGAACCATGCGAGGCAGTGGCGACAGCGGAGAGGGAAAAAAAACTTCACCTGATGGGAGTGAAGAAAAAAAACCTTGAGAGAACCAGACTCAGTTGGGCACGACCATTTTAATTTCTCCGCTGGCCAAAAGTCTTGTGCAGAACTTCATTCGCCGTGGTTTAGGCTGGAAGATGGCCTCAGCGAAGACTCGTCTGTCACTGGAGCGTCGCTGGAATCAGACTCATGTTCTCCACTCCCCACGACCATCAGCGCAGCAGCAGCTCAGGATATGGCCTGGTCCCGGATATGGAATCCTTGGGATCATCACGTCGCTGGTCTTGGATCCAATCAGTGACTCCGCATAATCTGAGGACCTGGGGATGAGTATCCCCAGGTGAAAATAGAGAATAAAGAGAATAATTAGCGTAGCTGCTGTTCATAGTGTATATAAGCAAGATGTAGAAGCCAGTGTGGAACCCGCTAGGTGATGCATTGAGTGTATGCTTTACTAAACAGATAGGTCTTTAATCTAGTTTTGAACTGGGAGAGTGTGTCTGAGCCTCGGACGTTATCAGTAAGGCTATTCCAGAGTGTAGGAGCCATGAAAGAGAAGGCTCGACCTCCTTTACTTGATTTTGCTATTCTAGGTACTACCAGAAGCCCTGAATTTTGAGATCTTAAAGAGCGAGTTGGTTTGTAGCGAGACAGAAGGTTGGTTAGATAAACAGGAGCTAGATTATTTAGAGCTTTATAGGTGAGAAGTAATATTTTAAATTCAATACGAAACTTAACAGGCAGCCAGTGTAAGGAGGATAAAATTGGGGTTATATGATCATATTTTCTAGACCTGGTCAGAACTCTGGCTGCTGCATTTTGTACTAATTGAAGTTTGTTAATAGAGGATGCTGGGCAGCCAGCAAATAGAGCATTACAGTAATCCAGTCTTGAAGTCATAAAAGCATGGACTAGCTTTTCTGCATCTGAGATGGATAGCATATTTCGTAATTTAGCGATATTTCTCAGATGAAAGAAGGCAGTTTTTGTGACATGGGATATATGGTTTTTAAAAGTTAGATTGCTGTCTAATATGACACCCAGATCTTTTATAGTAGAGCTAAAGCTAACTTTGTATCCCTCTAATTGTAAATTGAGTTGCGAGATCTGCTGTGTGCAAGATTTAGGCCCAATAAGTAATAATTCTGTTTTGTCGGAGTTTAAGAGAAGAAAATTGTTGGTCATCCAGTCTTTGATGTCTTTGATACACTCAGTTAGTTTAGAAAGTTCAGACGTCTCGTCAGGTTTAGGTGAAATATATAATTGAGTATCATCTGCATAGCAGTGAAAGCTGATCCCATGTCTTCTAATAATGTCTCCCAGAGGTAGCATGTAAATTGTAAACAGTAAAGGGCCTAAAACTGATCCTTGAGGCACCCCATACTTTACTGGGCAGATTTGTGAAAGCTGTCCATTAAGATTCACAAACTGGTAGCGGTCAGTTAAGTATGACTTAAACCATTGTAGAGCCTGTCCCTGGACACCTGTAGACTTTAAGCGATTTATGAGGATATTGTGGTCAATGGTATCAAATGCCGCACTAAGATCGAGTAAAACTAATAGCGAGACGCACCCTCGGTCAGCAGCTAAGAGTAAATCATTGGTTATTTTCACTAAGGCGGTTTCTGTACTGTGATGAGCCCCGAAACCTGACTGAAACACTTCAAAAATATTGTTCTTCTGCAGAAAAGAGCATAATTAAGTGGAAACAACTTTTTCTAGTATTTTAGACATAAATGGAAGATTTGAAATATGCCTATAGTTAGCTAAGTTGTTGGTGTCTAGTTGCGGTTTCTTAATAATAGGCTTAATAACAGCTAGCTTGTAAGAGTTTGGAACATGGCCTATAGATAAAGAAGAGTTAATAATGTTAAGAAGAGGTTCTCCTATAGCAGGTAGCAGCTCTTTCAGTAATTTTGTTGGAATTGAGTCCAGCAGACACGTAGCTGGTTTAGAGCTATTTATAATTTTTACTAACTCTTCATGTTCTATGATTTTGAAGCAGTGTAGGTTATTATTATGATTTAATGAAATATTTACAGGATTTGGAGTATAAGCCGGTGCAGAAAGTTTGGCATGTCCTATTTTCTGTCTAAAGCCTTCTATTTTATTACTGAAAAAATTCATCACTCCTAAGTCACCCAAGTCATCACTACTAATTTGCGGTGGAGTAGTTTGTTCCAAGGATGACCGATTATTAGCTAATTTAGAGATGGTGTTAAATAAAAATCTAGGATTGTTATGATTATTTTCTATCAGTTTGCGCAGGTGCTCGGTCCTGGCAGATTTTAGAGCCCTCCTATAGCTGGACATACTGTCTTTGTACGCAATTCTAAAGACCTCTAAATTAGTTTTTTTCCATTTACGTTCCAGGGCGCGGGTTGCTGTTTTGAGCGCACGAGTATGACTATTATACCATGGTATAGTTTTAATCTCTCTAGCCTTTTTTAATTTGATGGGTGCCACAGTATTTAGTGTGCTAGTAAAGATGGCATCCATACTGCTGGTTACTACATCAAGATCATTTGAGTTTGCGAGTGCATTACGAAATAGAGAAAGATCAGGTAAGTTATTGATAAATTCATCTTTAGTTGACGGAACAATAGTTCTACCAGGGCGGAGTATTGGAGCGGGTTTGCTGATTTCAGGTAAACACAGCTTATATAGTAAGAGGTAGTGATCTGTAATATCATCACTTTGTGGTATAATGTCTACGTCAATAACCTCGATTCCATAAGACAGAATTAGATCTAATGTATGCTTTAAGCGATGGGTTGGACCCACAACGTTTTGCTTTATCCCAAGTGAGTGTATTAAATCCATAAACGCGAGCCCTAATGTATCATTAGCGTCATCTATGTGGATGTTAAAGTCACCTACAATTAGCATTTTATCAGTTTTGACTAGTAAGTCAGAAATAAAATCAGAAAATTCTTTTAGAAATTTGACATAGGGTCCTGGGGGTCTATATATGGTGATTAAAGCGAGAGATAACATAGGTTTTTGTATAGTATCTGGAAGCTGAACATTAAGCGATAATACTTCAAAGGAGCTAAACATAAGTCCGTTTCTCTGTTTAATATTAAGGAAATCACTAAAGATTGATGCAACTCCACCACCACGACCAGTTTGACGAGCCTCATGTTTATATAAGAATCCTGGAGGAGTTGCTTCATTTAAGCTAATATAGTCATTTTGTTTCAGCCAGGTTTCAGTGAGACAGAGTGCATTAAGATTGTTTTCTGTTATTATTTCATTAATGATAAGTGCTTTAGGTGCAAGTGACCTGATGTTTAGGAGACCAAGTTTTACGAAATTTGTATTTTCACTTTCTACTGGTTTTTCTGGTTTGATTCTTAATAGATTTTTTCTGGAGCACACAGTACGTTTATTTCTTAATCTAATAATACGAGGAACAGACACAGTCTCTATAGGATTCGCCAGATATGCGTTACTGATGTTTAAGTGGGGTGAACAAGAGTCTAGGTGGCTATAGTGTGAATTTTGTGAATTTTTACCTGCTAGTCAGATGGTGCGAAGTAGTCTGGAGATGTTGTCCGACAGGAGTTCAGCGGTGCAGGCCGTCAGGACGGAAGAGCCTAGGACGCTTCCAGAAAAGATTCCAGTTATTAGCAAAGAGCAATTTCTGTTCTTTACACCATGT